CGGCGAGAGCCACACGTTGAAGCTGGCCAGCCCTCGAAGCGACTGCCGCTGTTGAAAACGAATGTGCGCGGCACCAGAGCGAGAACCCCCTCCATCGCTGTATCCGCTGCAGGCTGTTCAGACGAATGTGCGCTGCGCCAAGGCCAGGGCTCCACGTTGAAATCCGCCCCCTCCGTTGTCGAAGCGGCGAATGTGCGCGGCGCTGAGGCGAGAGCTCCACGTTGAAAACCATCGTCTCCGTCCTTCAAGCTACTGCTAGCTTTTAAGGCGAACGTGTGCGACGCTGAGGCGGATGCCCCATTTGGACAAGAAACCGCCCAGCATCCTTGTAACCGTTGCAAGTTGTTAAGACGAATGTAAGCGGCTCTAAGGCGAGATCCCCATGTTGCAAAGGATCCGTCCTTCGTTTTTGATGGTGCTGCAGTTTTGTTGGACGAATGTGCGCGGCGCTACGGCGAGAGCCTCATGTTGACAATGACCAGCACTCGAAACGGCTGCAACTGTTTCAAACGAACGCGCGCGGCGCTGAGGCGAGAGCCTCATTGTTCCAAAAGACCCCCTCCATCCATGCATCCGCTTCAAACTGTTAAGGCGAATGTGCGCGGCACTGAGGCGAGAGCTCCATGTTAAACCCCCATTCAACACCCCTTCCGTTCTTGAAGCTGTTGCAAGCTTGTAAGACGAATGCGCGCAGAGCTGAGGCGAGAGCTCCATTCCTAAACGACCCCTCTCCATCTTTGAAGCGATTGCGAACTGTAAAACCAATGTAGCGCGACGCTAAGGAGAGACCTCTGCTTTGCAAACGTCCCACTCTTTTTGAAGCTGCCGCAGCTTTCAAGCTTCAGGGTCAGAAGTGGTGAGCAAGCCTCAGGCGGAACGCCAGGCCCGCCCTACCAACACTCCTGTGGGCGCAACAGGGAGGAGCTACGTTTTGGAAGACGGATGGAGGAGGAGGAGGAGGAGGGATGGATCGAGGGTTGAAGGCCCCCATCTCTGAGTCGAAGTGAAGAAGCCACGACAGGAGTTCTTGGGTCGCCAGGCCCAGGCGCCGTCAGAGAGCGGGCCGGGGTGAGACGCCAGCCCCGAGTCGGGGGTCCAGACCAGGGGTCCACCCTGAGATCCCACGCTGCTCAACAAAGTGCAGCATCGCAACAAGGCTCGCCCGGAGCTCCAGGCCCCACCTTTCTGCGTCGCCTCTCCCGAGCCGGATCGATCTGTGAGGGTCCCCAGGGCCCGAGATGGAGCGAAAACGCCCGTTGTGCGAACAAAAATTGCAACGCCAGGATCTCAGGGCACGCTGCGACAAGATGGCGACGTCGGACTTCTGAGGACCTCGGAGGGGACCTCGGCGGGGATGGAGGAGGGGGAAGAGGAGGAGGAGGAGGAGGAGGAGGAGGAGGAAGAGGAGGAGGGGGAGGAGGATGGGGAGGAGACACCAGCCCCGAGACAAAAGTCCAGACCTGGGGCCCTCGTTGCGACAAGGTCGCGCAGACTTCTCGGGGCCTCGGAGGAGGGCCCAGTCGAGACGGCCGCGGTCCCTCCCTGCGTGTTTGTCGTCCTTTTTGTGGGGCTCTCCTGGAGACTTCCCGGCGCCAGGGCTGGCTCCGCTCTCTCTTATAAAAACGGTCGGGATCCACCCAGGGAGGGTCTGGGGATCCATTCTGTGCGGCTTCCCAGACCCCCTCGCGTTGCGACAAAAATCACGACGGGAGGCTTTTCGTAATTTTCGGCCCCTGGGGGTCCTGACTGGGCCTCGGTACCGCCAAAGAACGACGCAGGATGAAGGACTGGTCCCAGGGACGGGTCCGGACATCTGGGGGTCGACGTTGTCACGAAAAATCCTGACGTCGGGGGTGTGGGTTTAGGCCAGGCGGGAGAGCCACCGTGGAGATCACCTGGTGATCGATCGTTTCCTTATTCCTTCGTGTGCCGATGAGCGCGGGCCCTCGCAGCCCCCTCCTCCCCCCATGGAGTAGATCTCGGCTGTTTTTGGCACCTGTCTCGGGCAGGTGGGGGCCAGTCTCCCCCACAAGGCGCACTGCTGCAAGCAGTGGCACGAAGCAGAGGTCCGGAGCCAGAGCCCCCCGCCCCCCTTCCGCCCAGTGTCGAAACGCCGAATAAAACAACGCTCACCTGGCCCTTCCCCGAGGGACGAGCGGCGGAGGGCTTCTGAGTCGGCGGTTGAGCTTGTCCCGGGGACGCGGGCGCTCGTCGGCCTGCTGACAAGGCGTGGGGCCTTCTTTGGGATAACGGGTGGCTTCTAAGGTGCTCTCCTGGCTTCGAACATGGAGTGTCTCAGAAGCCTCGAGGACCTTCGAAGAACTCCCCTGCCATCTACAGTGGAAGCCCATGCCACGAAACACCCTGCTTGCCTTCAGGGTGCCCTGGGTTCCCTGGGTTTCGATCGATGGCTCTGCGATGGAAAGCGTGACGCTCCCACACCAAAAAACAATGGACGTCCTGGGGTCTCAGGCTTGGGTTCTCTTGTGGAAGGTTTACT